ACACACAAAACAATCAAACCCTCGTCGATAGCATCCCTCTTGGAATTCAGTCTTTGTTAATGGAAATAAGTTCAAGCAGAACACAAATCTTCGAACCCTGGGTATGGCATGTCTGTATTAACATGTTCGTGATAAATATGCTTCAAATTCATTTCATCCTGACGAAAGAGTATGAGCAGATTTGTATTATCACGCACCAAGTGTTTTGGAATTCGTGCATAGGTTTGACAAAGATAGGGGCAGTCTACACTTTTATGGCGAGCCATGTAAAAAAATTGTCGCATATTATCCTGTCTTTCACATGGGACATCATCAAATATCATGATAGAATTGGGATGAGTATCGTCGGGTTCAACCACCTCTTCATAATCTTCAAATGGAAAATAACCAATAACTTTCACTGTTGTGAATATTTGTTTCAACAATTGATATTTTCACTGATTTAAGGACTTGCAGTAAACGCGGACATTTTGAAATCTCAGTCCACGAGGATGGGTAATGAAAGCTATCAGGGCATTCGTCTTGCTACAGTTTGAAAGTCCACAGATAATTGCACGTACAGTATTGGATAATGGTAGGCCGTGACGATTTTTTGGTTGATCTTTCTTTTTCTCGGTAATCGCATCGAAATTCATGACTGGTAGCTTCGAACTTTGCTGCTTGAACTCCATATTGACGAGTGTTAGCAAATTCCATAGATATACGGCATTTACAGACTTGCACGTCAGTCCTGCACAAGATCATGGTGGTGTGCAAACGTGTGGAAACGCAGAAGGGTAAAGAAATTGTTAACAATATCATCAGTAAATTACCCATTGAATTACCTATACCGGGCTACCAGTATTGTGGTCCGGGAACCAAATTGGCTAGACGATTGGCACGAGGTGGTCGTGGAATAATATGGGACTAAGCATTAGTGCCAGTACGAAGAAAAAGAGAAAAACTGCTGGCTATGGTGGTAGGAAAAAACGTAGAAGTATTAAGAAGACACCGTTGCGACAGATTATACGAGTCGTCAAATCCATGCAGTTGAACTGATAGAAAGCTGCAAAAAGTGCACAATTATATCGGTTGAGCGTTAATTATAATGAGTGATTCATTTATCTTGACCTTGTCGGGCTGATCTTCTATACTAGAGGTAAGCTGTTTCTGACTCATTGAATTATCACGAGAGGAATTATGTAGTGTGGGCTTGTCCAATTTTTCACCTAAAATTCAGTTCCTAATGTTGATGAAGGATTTAATAAATTTGACATTGAGAAACATGGATTGGTAATAAAATTGACTATATCTACAGGAAACTATAAAATTACTGATATTGAAAATTTTTTGAAAGATCAATTACCAGTGTATGAAATTCCTTTCACTTTACGGGCAAATGATCAGACGTTCACGACAATGATTGAAGAACCCAAGGATGTGGTGATAAATTTGAAGCCGTTGGCCTTCATTGAACGACTGCCTGGTTTTCAAGGACAAGTTTTAGCATATTCAACATTCTAGGAATGTGTCACACATCCCAACATCATTCGCATGAACTCTCTACGTATTGAGTGTAATCGAACTGCAGAAGACTACATTAACAATTGACGTGTGCATACAATTCACGAATTCTTCCCAAGCATTGCACCTGAATATAACAGCATTGAAACACCTGCTCAGGTCATTTAATTGCCAATCATGGTGCAGTCAATAGACCATTTGCAATTGAGGATTGTGGATCAGGACGATCGCCTTGTGAATTTGCGTGGTGGTCGTGACAATACGTCTCCATACAAGAGCCTATTGAATTATGAGTATTGTATTTGAAGGGAGCAAGTTGGTGGCAGTCATAAAAGTGTGGACTGCCAGCTAGCGAACAGTCGTCCAGTAGTGGTTTAGTGAATGTGCGTCACTTGGAACATTTGCTACAGAGTACTGTAACACTTTTCCCCGATCTCGTCACCGGAGTTGAGGATAGCTATTACCTTCGCCCGTTCCCAGCTAACTTTTTATGGGCCCGATGTTAACGAATACCGAAAATACTTAACGGGGGCAAAGTGGTGAAGGGCCCTGCCTTGCCCGAGGTCAGCTGACCTCATCAACCTGAAAATCCCTAAATATTCGAAAACAAGAGCACGAAGGAACAGGACAAGTAGGGTTGAAACTCATCCTCGCGACAACACAAGATCCTAAATCCATTAATTACACCAACCGGGGTGTGACCGTAAAACTACCCGCGAGAGGCTAAAACCGATGACGAAGGGAACGGAAGCGGGAAGGCCTGGGGTCGCTCAGGATGCTAGGTCGTGGTGAGAGGGTCGGGGTCCACGGATACGCGAGTCTAATAACCGAAACCATAGGCGAACAGACGGCGGTCCGGGATACCGAGAACATGCATGCGGGAATCCAAGGCATGGAGGGCGACATCTAGGAATACCTCGCCGAGAGAGCGACGTACGATAGTGGAGGGCCGGTAGGCCGATAGCGCGGAGATTAGCTCACCCGATTGCACACTATCGGGAGCGTGACGGGCCCACTAGGGTAGCCACAAAATTAAAAAAGATATCCAGGGCGGGTAAAACTCTCACCCAGCAAACGTCGCGCGAGGGGAGTATTCCTCCCACCCGGAGATTGTCACCAGGGAGAGCGTAACCCTCACCTAGAGAGCGCGAAAACCAATGTGGGGCGTTGGGAGCCTATCAAGGGCTCGAGGGAGAGAGAGAAAGCTGCCAGTAGTCCGCACTGGGAGCCAGCCGAAGCGGCTGTGCCGAGTGAGTGGGCAGTCTGGGCAGTATTACCGATGCTCCCCCCTCCCCCCCACTCTCGACTACGACTGGATGGGCTGCCATCGCCTCAGGGAGGATATCCCTGACACTAGCTTCTCCTGGAGCGCGCCGAATTCGAAAGTCGGCACTGACCCCTTCGAACAACCCCGTCGAAGGATCAGCCGTTCGAATGCCTACCCATCTAACATAGAGCGCTCATACGCCAGTATGAGTTCTATGCTATGTGCCAGGAAGTCTCATAGAGGGGCTGGGAATGTTTTCACGGGTCCGCCCTGTACCGTTACCTCTCTCCAGGTCTCCTAACACCTTAAGCACTCGGGCCCCTGTCCCCACACCCTTCGACGATTCGGGAAATTCTCGGGGAGGGTCGAGATGGCAGATAAAGAGAGCCAAAATATTCCAAAATTGGTTTAATGTGCGGGATTCGCGAAAATCCCGGTATAGTCCTCATCAAAAGTGTGAAAATAATGAAAATGATTTTAATGAACTTTTTTAGACATTTGTAATTCAATCTTTATGTCCGAATCTCCTTTTCATTTTGACTCGTAAAATGTAAAAATATATTCACGGATTCCAAAAATTTCTCATGTTCATTTTTACAAACCTCACATCACTATTCAATGTAAAAAATTCTCGGTTTCAATTATTATACTTCTTGTATCATATCACCTTTTCCATCAATGGAATATTCACTCCACTTCGAAACCACGAAACGAAGCAGCTGAGTGTTTGGTTTATATGATGTGTACGTGCTCTCCGGTAATCACCCGCAACCACATGAGTGGAAATCAGTGCGCGCTTCGATCTCAATGAAAGAAAAGTATGAAGTTTAAAAAATGAATTCTCCCATTTGATAAAAATTTAAAAAATAATATTCATCTTTCTTATTAGTTTCTCTTCATAGTGAATTTGACGGAAAAATTTCAAAATCATGAATTAAATTGTCGGTGTAATTATCAATATTATTGAGGTGGAATAAAAGAAAAAAATCCGTCGCCAACAGTTCATCTGAAAAATGATTGAAGCTATGATTTTCAGCTATGAAAATATTGGGCATTCGAAATTGGAGATCAGACATCACATGATTGATGGTAAACATCAGAGATCAAATGACAGATAATCGACATCACATGATGGTTGATACCCCAACCCCTCAGCCCCCCCAAAATCTACGGACCGAAAATGCGAAACTACCCCATATATGGGTCAAACATGTGAAACGAAGAATTACCATCGTGGGTCGATAAAGGGTCAAACCCAAAATTACCGGCTGAGCATCAAGCAGGACTGGAAATTGCCCTCCCCCTCTCAATTACTCAAACGGCCCCTTAAATATTCAGTTATTTATACATCACTACTTGGCCTGTATAATGCAGTTGCTCTACAAATCTTACCCTGTGAATGCACTAGGTCCACATATTTTACAATAACGCAATTGCTGAGATCTAAATTGGGCTCCGACATGTGTTAATCGAAATCAGGGGGGTGTAAACTCAATCTGTTTCTGTATAGAGACTATGGCCATACTTCTGTCGCCTCGACGCACTAATCCGCATGGTGTCGTCAACATCGTTTACCCGTGTTTACATGTGCACTCTAATCGCCGAACTCTCTTTACCCTCCATACCGAATAAAAAGTTTCGGTTTGTTTTCAGTAAATAATTGAGTAGTGCAATGTGTTGCTTATTTTGATGACTACTCATGTGAGGGTGGTTGGCTGTAGAGTGGGGTATGACTCCAATTCAGACAAGGGTCCATTTTTAACTGCTTCGAAAATTCCTCATGAACTGGAAGCGTGGAGAAAAAGCACGAAATTATCTGGATTAAAAAGTGGAGACCCCATATGCCATAATCATTTTTTACCGGTGAAGTGATAACACATAAAGTATTCGAGGCAAATGGACATGTGATGAAAGTTAGACGACATAGCTAGAGTAATGAACTGTCATTTTTAAATACCTATAACCCATCAGTGAAATTTAACCCTTCAACCGTAAACCCGACAATTATGAGTACGTCCCGAACAGGGTACACCAAGAGGACGAGTATGAAAAATTCACGTTGCAAAAACCCTATTATTGCTATGATTTTGAGGAAATCCGGGGTTATGAAATTTGGATAATTTCAATTCGCAAGCACTAATGCAAGCAAAAAACACAACGGTGAGTTTAATTTTATTGACTTCGGGAATATGTTCAAGTGTACAATTAAAAATAAAAGTTTCTCACTTACTTTGTTTTCCACTTTTCACTGAGCGTTTCACTGAACAAGAATCCTACAATTATGAATAGCATAGAGGCCTGCGACAGCAAGCCGAATCTTGACTGATGCAATAAGGAAGTATCCACTTGTTGCAGGTCCACCGGTACGGTGGATGTAGATGGTACTGAATCAAATAATTTAGCTGTAACTGGATCCTCGTTCTGTATTTTTTCAGGTATACGGATATTCGTTGCAATGGAAGCTACATGTTGTTCATTCACAGATCCACCCCGCAGCTATGGGACATGTAATTGAATTGAGCAGGTGTAAATAATACAAATATGTTACGCTCTCATGTTGCAATTAGCAGTTACTTATTGTTTCACAAATAAATAAACAGAACTTTATAGCATTCGCATTGGTTCTGGCATTTACCTTGAAGAATACTTCAACACCATATATTAGGAATGGTATGACAACGATAAAGAGCAGGAATGCGTAACAACCATTGAAGATTTGAATGTAGTAACTCTGAAATTAGAATAATTGAATTGATTATCAATGTGTAACGATTCTAAGAATATATTAAAAGTTCTTCTTCCGATTATGTAACAGTTTTAGAATTCGTGTATGGAAAACATGATTGGAGATTAAATGAGTTGAAAATTTAGTCCATATTATTCTTATGCCGTAAAAATATGATAAGATTCTTCTGTTGATTTAAATAATATCAGTCCACGAAAGTAATCACGTATCATGCAAAACTAAAGGAGTACTACAAGTTTTGCACACTCTTGTCAACGGACACGGAAATTCGACTTATAAACTTGACATCTCATAATTTCAAAAACACAGCTTATAATACTCTTAAAGTATTCGCATTTTCGAGCTTAACTGAAAAACGATGAATTTTCAAAGATTTAACAGTGAGATCGATATAATGATAAAAAGTCAACAAGACATAAAATGATGAAATTCAAATTTCTTGTTTCCGTGCTTTTTTAAGGTAAAAAATCTTTTAAATTTAAATAAGACTGTTACCTGCTGAACATTTAATTCCTGAAATGCGTAAAAAGGAATCAAATTTTTTAAATACTGCTTAGGGAATGTTCAAAAAATGTTGACAAATATTTTAAAAAATTTCACCAGTGTTTTCCAATTCATTTGCAGCCGAAATAGTCAATTTGGAGTGATTTGATGACTTTGATGCACAAGTTGATATAGAAAAAAAATCGCCCAATTGATATTTTCATCAATGCAAAATACATCAACAAAAATATTCATATTTTTCTTTCAAAAATTAAATTTTTTAAGCGTTGACTGGCTGAGCTAACTATATACCCCCACTCTGAGCCAAGCATTGGCTCTCGTCACTCTGACTACCTGCACAATACAATAGGACCCCTTTTTTTATGGTCATTGGCCTAATTGGGGTAGGGAGCTAGGTGAGCACAGACAGGACACTTTGCCCAGGCTTGACGTAGATGACTTTGCCTTGAAAGTCAAAGAAGACGATATCAGGCTTCGTTGTACCGACGGGCCTGACAGTTGCAAACGAAAGGGTCCAGTAAATCTTGCACAATTTATTCACGACAACAAACTCCAATATCTCCAGGAGCTTAAGGCGGAATCGGCGTATGGTCTATACCAGGCATGGACAAAGTACGCTCAATGGGCTCACCTAGCTCCCAACCCCAATTAAGCCAATGACCATAAAAGAATGGGTCCTATTTTATTGTGCAGGTAGTCGGCGGGGCGAGACCACGATGCTTAGGTCAGAGTGGGGGTATCGTTACGTCAGTCAACGCGCAAAAATGTGAATTTTTGACCGAAAAATATGAAGATATTTTTTGCTGTATTTTGTATTGTTAAAAAATATCGATTAATCATTTTTTTCTATGTCAACTTCCGCGCGAAATTCCATTGAATAAATCACTCGGAACTGAATATTTCGGCACCAAATGAATCGTAAAACACTGGTAAAAAAATATTTTCATTTTTGTTAATATTGTTTGAACATTTCCGAAACAGTATTTAATAGATTTTTGACCCTAAAAAAGCACAAGGAAACTAAAAATTTAAATTCCATCATTTCATGTCTTGTTGATTTTTTTATTATATTGATCCCATTGTTAAACATTTGAAAATTCACCCATTTGCACATAACGATGAAAACGAATAATTTTTGCAGAAAAAAATGAAAATAATTAGCTGCAGAAAGTGGTCAAGCCAAGGTAATTGAAAAAGGTTCACAAATTAAAAAATGTACCATCTGGCCAAGAGTCGGCAAAACTTATAAAATAAACAAACGATTAGATTCATAATTCATTGATGGAATTTTAAAGAAGTGACATCTCATATTTTTTTTCATTTCTTTCAAAGCCGGTTGGGCATGGAGGTGATACATTTCCGTTATAAAATTTTTATGGTTGGAATCCACAAAATCACAAAGCGACTTCCCGCGAATTACCGTTATTTTCCCCGTTTCGCGAAATCAGTCAACAAATTAGTCCAATTAATTACGAGCGATCCGAGAAATTAAATCGACTAATTAATTAATTAATTCAGTAGTTAAGCAATTAATTAATTAATTAATAATTTATAATTATAACAATTGTAATAATTATAATGAATAGTTAATCCATTCAATAACAAAGCTGGGAAATTATATACCAGCTACCTATTCGTCGATTTTAGCTACCTGGTTTTCTAACCGCGTTCTGGATAATAAATCCGCTACCTATTAGGTGAAGAGCGGACTATCGTACGTCTAGCTCTCCCGTAGCTAACGCGGATTTAGCGAGGGGCCGGGGAATTCTCTACCAAAACCCCACCGTACGCTACCTAACCAGGGAAGTAGGCTATCTAATGATTCCCTATGGCCGGAAGTCCCTTCAGCTACCTCACTATTTTTTTTTCGCTACCTGCCTTACTACCTACCCTACGGTTACTATTAATTGAGACAAATGGTCGGGGTCACGCTATCGAACCGGATACAGTCGTTACCAAACGACCGGATAATGTTACCGAATTTAATTTATGCCCTACCGGCCGATCGGCAAGAATTATAAGGTCGTATCTCTCTCTCTCTCACTCGAACCCCAACGCTATCTCGCCCCTCTCGCACAGGATTCCCTTCAGTTCCCTACCTTTCCCACCTGGAATAATGAGGTGAGATTTAGACCCCGTCTCTCTACGCGAATTACTACTACGCGAATAAATTCACTTTCATTACCCTCTATCGTTTCCCTTAATTAGAATTCAATCGGTTCCTCTTTTGACTAACGCTAGCCTTATGTACAGATTTTGACTGAGCAATTTCCAGTAAGTGTAAGCGTCTACTGGATACATCTCGTCTTTTTTTTTGTGATCAATAGTGAAACAAGTAAGAACGATTGCACCTGGTTTTTTTTATTTTCCCCCTTTCTCCCGTCCTCGTCGCTATAACTTCCTCAGCTCCGCTTCAGGTTCGCGGGATTATTCCGACTTTGCTAATTGATGCTCTCGTCCACGAATCCACCCCTCTCTCCACGACCCACAGACTGAGCAACCGAGCAGTTCCGTACCCTCGTACCTCCACAGCTCTAGGCTAAGGTAAGTTAGGTTGATAAGAAATCCTGGGGATAATTAGTGAAAATTGGAGTTTGAAGTTACGAATTTAGATACGGTTGCGGTTGGTCGATTCCGCGTTGCTAAAAATCGGATGGCGCCCTAAACACATTTCTAAGAACTGGATGAGCTGCTAATCATTCCCGGGGTCATATTAAGGTTTTCCGGTTTTGTGACTCCCCGGAGCTGGTCGAGTGCGAGAACGAAGGTAATGGTTTTGGCCGTGTTTACGGATATCGATCCAATGGGCTAGGGCAGGGATGGGCAACCTCCAGGTAGCTCGGAGCAGAGTCATAAACTCGAGTTAGGAATCCAATAAAGTTTATAACCATGCCAATTATAAGGGTCCTAGTACGATCATAGTGGAGACAGTAGTGGGGGGCCTCACAGTCACCGTATTGGGGAGCGTCCCATGACGTCTCTGCCAAATGGTAAAATGGGAAAAATGGCCGCCGCGATTAATATAAAGGGAAATTTAAAAATCCACACATGGAAAAAAAATTTCCTGAATATGAAGATAACTATTGGTCATTGAAATAAATATGAAGGTACTCTTCAAATTCAGCTTCCCGCACTGATGATATCTTTCAGCTTGCTTTTTAAATTTTTGGTCTAATATCGACCTTACCGAAAAATATGTCAAGGAAAAATTACCAAACATTGCAGTTTTGACCGGCCGATGTTGATTCTGAATAGAGAAATTTTCTGAATAAATAATTGCGGGACCACTGGAACATGACATTGTGGAATTTGTTCCTCGCCGCTGAGATTAAACAGCCATTCTTTACATTTCATTTGTAACGTCTGCTTTCAAAATTAATAAAAATGTCATGCTGAAGAAAATTCCACATTTTCCATTTTTGACTCATTTCCCCGCTTTTCCTTTTCTTCAGCGATATTTCTCCTCTTTTCCTGTTCTTAAGTATTAACCCCACTTCGGTTGATTTCAGCTGAGGGGAAGGCTCTTTACGACTTGGGTCATAAAGGCCTGTCACCCGACACAATAAGCTTTCGTCTACCCTCTGTTATGTGTAGAGGTCGGGAGCACGACTTGCTCTCAGAGCAGGGGTTGCCCATCCCTGCTCTACGCTACATGCGTGGCGGCCCGAAATTCACGGCAGACCAGTGGTACTCAACTACCTCTCTCATTTCCCGACGTCTCTCACGCGCTGTTGTCACATCTCAGTCGACTTCTACCACTCACACTTACGCGCCATAACTCAGTCCTCTCATTGGCCATCGTTAATTTTTAATCAAATAACTCTTTACCAATCTATTCACCAGAGCAGCCGAAATCCGACTGATGGCCGTCAATCATCCTCGCTGCTTCTTTCCCATTTCTCGTTATTTGTCGTTCCCTAATCGGTAGTACTCGGGCGACTTCAAAGGCGTCTTCTTTCGAGCTTTCCGGGATCCTCTCTGCGCAGTCCAAGCAGGTCGACGCGATGACAGATGACAGTCCTTGTGTATTTGTGGGTGCTGAGTCAGGTCACTGAGGAAAGCGGGCGGGAGAAGGCTATTTTGGGGAAGTAGGTCGCCCAAAGGTGGTGTAAAAACTATCGTAATTCTGGTACAAATTAATTGAGTAAATTACATAGGACATAGCGGGGAGGCTGAAAAGTCTCCCTTATCACAATTTCTGACGTAAGGATATTTTCCTCATGACAAATGAAAGTGTTGCGGTTACGGGGTATTAAAAAACTCTTCAGTCGTGGTCAGGGGGCAATCTTTACAGCCGGCGGGGTCGTGACCGGGGTAGGGGAAGAAAAGAGAGAGAGAGAACGGTTATCTTTTAGTGGGAATCTATTTGGATGGGACTAAATACTCAGGTATACAATGGTTACCTTCGCCCAGGAAATTGACTCATAAGTTATACAAAAAGAAGGAACATTTTATAAATGCCCTTGAGCTAAATTTTTAAT